TGAGGAGAAACCATTCTCCAACGTAGTATGGCGTAGACAGAACAGAAGCGACAGACTCGCCGTATTTCACCGTAACAATATTATAAAACACCTGTCAATAAATTATTTGTAAATTTGTATATAATCCTTGAATCCTTAATATTAAGACCATCTTGTTGCCTATATAATGTAGCTATTTATTAACAAAAAAAATAAGAATATACGTATATACAGTATATATTTTTGAAAGAACAAACAGTCTCCACATATTATTTTTATTATAAATTTTAGACTTGCAAGTATAAGATTTATAATCTTATGGTATAGTATATATCTCTCTTTGCTAGGAAGAATTTAATGCAAGGCTTACAATTGCAATCCATCTGTCTAAACTTCTTAGCACCACTCAAAAATATAGAAAAAAAAAATTTAAAATCTATATTATGTCTTGAATGGTGTCTAGCTACCTAGAGAATTTGATTATCTAATTACATAAAGGTATTGCAATTACTATATACAGGTTGGCCTCCAAGTCATAACTAGGATTGGTACATTTGTTTTTCAACTGTAGTTTGATATATGACAAGTAGGCAAGAGTTGATTCCAAACCATACTAACTTCAAATGTATCAAAATAAAACAGATCTTTTACTATTTGCACCTAACATTGACCTTATATTTGAATCCATTACTAGAACTAAAGGCTAAAGGGTAATAATCATCTTTAATACCAATGCAACCCTTTGATAATATTAATCTTTCACTATTTTTACCTAGTATAAATCTCTCATTTTGAAACCTATCACTAGAACTATAGGCTGAGAGGTAGCAATTAATCTTACTGTCAAAATAGCTTTAGAGAATATATTTTGATTTTAAAATAAGATAAAACTGGAAAGTGTGAGAACAAATTTAAATATAAAGTAGTGGTTTGTTAAGAAAAGTATTAGATATGTAATGGAGTTGGATTTTCTTAAAGGTATTGATACTTAACCTTGTACAATAAGTCTATATTATTGGAGAGATAAGTGAAAAACTTTTGTTATCATTATCAGCTCATGTTGTGGGGGTAATTAAAATCCCTGGTCTTCATATATTATTCTACTAAATTCTCTAATCACCAGCATGACACCTGCAAACTAATCTAGCTTACTGTTAGCTGCATTGACATTGGCTATTATATTCTTCTGGATACAGTAGAGCACAACTTCTTAAATACTTTCAGATAATAATAGTTGTACACCAGTTTCTTAGATATATCTAGTTTAACCATTAACAAGTAAACAACATCAGATTTGGTAATAATAATCATGCTGATTTTTTGAAGGAAGTAAGTTATACATCCTTTTTTTGTAAGGCCATAGAAGAGAAAAAAATTCTAAAGCCCATGTCTTGAGAAAAGTTATCACTTCTGAATATAGTCTTAAGAAAAGGAAGTTGACTGGTTAAAAAAGTAATATTATAGAGAGTAGAATTTATAAAGGAGAGAAAGGTCTAAAAAGAAAATCTTTAAGAAGAAAAAAAAATCCAACTTTGACAAAGAAAGGGAAAAGAGAAGGGAAAGGGGTGAAGTAAATAAAAGAGAATATAGAAGAGAAAGAAAAAAATAGGAGAGAAGAAATAAAGAGGTATGGAAAAGAAAAAGTGAAGAGAAAGAGAAAAAGAAAAGTAAAAAAAAAATAAACAACTTAAAAGTTTTCTAAAAGAAAATTTTCAAGTATAGAAGAGAGAATAGGAAAAAGTTTTTTTTTTAATAAGAATACTTTTTTTTTTTTTTTTTTGAAGAAACAAATAACTACTATGCTTTATTTTATTATTATAATTTTAGACTTGCAATTACAAGATTTACAATATAATTAGTATGACATATATCTTTCTTTGCTAGGAAGAATTAAATGCAAGGCCTACAAAAGAACCATATTCTTAAGTTTCTTGATATTACTTAAGAAATACAGTAAAATAATTTAAAACCTATATTATAGTCTTGAATGGCATCTAGCTACCTAAAAATTAATTTGAATGCCTAATCACATGAAGATGCTGCAGCCACTTTATACAGGTTTGCCTTCAAGTCATAAGTAGAACTGATATGCTTGCTTCTCAAATATGGTTTGATGTTTAGCAAGTGGAATAGTGTTGGGAATTTTTAAGTTGTGATTACTTTTTCACATAAAGGTACTGCTGCCACTTTATACAGGTTTGCTTTCAAGTTATGAAAAGAATTTGGCATACTTATTTTCCAAGTATGGTGAAAATGTTCCATAAGTAAAGTTTTGTTTGGATTTCTTAAAGGTACTGGTATCTAATTTTGTATAATGAGACCTATATTGTTGAAGGATAAACAAGGAACTTTTATTGTCATTATCAGCTCATGTTGTGAGAATAATTAGAATCTCTAATCTTCACATATTATCCTATTAGGTTTTCCAACTATCAGTATAATATTTGTAAACTAACTTAGCTTGTTGTTAGCTGTATTGGTATTGACTGCCATATTGTTCTGGATACTGTAGGATGCAACTTCTTGAATACTTTCAGATAATAATAATTATACATCAGTTTTTTAGATATATTTAGTCTAATCATTAACAAGTAAACAATATCAGATTAGGTAATGATAGCCATGTCGATCTTTTGAAGGGGGTAAACTATTTATCCTTTTTCTGAAAAGTCATAAAAAAGAAAAAATTTCTAGAATCCACATCCTATAAAAATCTTGTTGCTTCTTATATGGCTCCTGAGAGAAGGAAGTTTATTAACCAAAGAAGTGATAAAATAAAAGATGAAATACTGAAAGGAAAGAAAGATCTAGAAAGAAAAAAACTTCAAAAAAAAGAAAAAATCTTTCTTTGGCAGGAAAAAAAAAAAGGAAACAGGAGAGAGAGAATAAGTAAAAAAGAATTTTATAAAATGGAAGAAAAAAACAAAAGTTAAAAGAGAAAAAAGAGTATAGGAAAAGGGAAGTGGAGAGAAGAAGAAGAGAACGAAAAAGTAAACAACTCAAAAATTTTCTAAAAAAGAAAATTTCAAGCATAGAAAGAAGAGTGGAAAAAAGTTTTTTTTTTTAATAAGAATACTTTTTTATTTAAAAAATATTTATAAATTGCAAATTTTAAATTAAAATTTTATATTTATAATAAAAACAGTGTGTGGAGACCGCTTGTTCCTTCAAAAAAAAAAATTAAAATTTTATTTATTCTTAAAAAAGCAATCTCAAAGTTATATCTAGATTTAAATAGATATTCTAGTATATAATTAGATTTATATGATATTCATTTTTGACTAGAAAATTAAATCAAAAATACATTTATATGCTAAGTTAAAAATCATGTCCGCGTGTAGAAGCTAAGCCACCTATAACTAAAACATACACACTTAATATTGAAAAAAAAAACATTCTTACGAATTGTATTCTTTTCGTAAATCAAAGTAGGAAACCAAGGAGTAGCGATTTGCTACAATATAACCAATTAACAAACTGGCTCCTTTAGCTCCCTCAACCCTGGCACCTTCACCTAATTTCACTTTCACAACTACCTCAATAACTGCTTCAGCTTCTACGTCGTCCTCCTCTACCCGATGGGTGCGAAGGCTGCATCATCGACAGAGGAACTATAGGGAACGTAATTTATTGTTTAGTCGAATGATACATGCTGCGGGTGGTAATGAGAACACAGGCGGGAATAATAATGAAAATGATATTAGCAGCATTTTGTCGACGACCGCTACGATAGCACCTTCGACGTCGTCTACTTTGACATTAGCAAATTCTCAAACTCAAGAGGAAGATGACGTCCAAAATATGTATCATCATTTTCGAAGTAAAGCGGTTTGCAAATTAAATTGTGCTCACTGTGAGTCAAGAGTGTGTGTCCGGGGAATGAAGGTAAGTTATAATGTTATCGCCAAAAATAGACGTATAATTTGATTCAAAGATCTGATGGCTTGTTTTATTGGCATTGATACAGGCCATGCTTCTGGCAGACACGAGTATCGAGCTTTTCTCGACTGATGTACCACCGTTACCATATGTGTGCGTTGATTTCCAATATTATGTTTAGTTATCGTGTGATTCCAGTAGTAAGTTCTTATGCTTTTGCATTAAATGTTTTGCAATAGGGTACAATTGGTTGGTGAAGATTATATGACAAAAAATTGCCAATGTAAAATCCGAGACGTGGCATGCCTCACGTGGTAATCTTTTTTTCTTTTAAAATAGTTGTTTTTTATAACATTAATACAAACATTCATGTAATTCATAGTGGGAACGTTCTAGGATATCATATTACTCAACCGTGCCAACAATGCATGGAAGCTTGTAATAACGGGCATCTTTGGATGTTTCACACCGAAGAAGTAGCAAGCGAAGAGAGGAAAGATCATGACGGTAAGATTTACTTTATCTATACGATCTAATCATATTACATTTTGCTGAATAATACGTGATTAATTATTTTTTAGGAAGGACTTTGTTATGGGCATATCTTCCTCACGCAGAGAAAGATTTAGAAGTTGTTGATACAGATGATGACTATGAACATTGTTGTCGATGAAAAAAAATTCCCTTAAGTAAACCTATTTTTTTCGATGTTATATATAGACAATTTTTTCTTGAAAATATTTTAGAAGTCAGTTTGTTATATATTTGTTTATGTTGCAAATTGTGGGTTAGGTCTGTTGAAGACTTGGCAAAAATGAATATTTTGTATTTATCTAATTCATTTCAATAAACCGTTACTGTATTTATACAATCAAAAATTTCCTTGATGTTGAGAAACATAATGATTAATACTAAAATAAACTTGTAATCTTCAAATTAGTTAGAAAGCAATGTATATAGTATATACTGTATTGCTGTATGATTCATTAAAATATAGTTTATTATTTCTAAGATCCGATATTTTTATTATTGTCCGAAGCGTTAACGTAGGACTACCATTCTACGTCAAACCTGACTCATCCTGTCTCTCCGCACGCGTGATTTATCTGTCTGCACGCGTGATTTATTTATTTTAACATGTGGCGTTATTAGCTGAATATTTTCCATTTCCATATAAAAATTCTAGTTTAAAATTATAATTATACAGTGGTAATTTTTTAAAATACTGTATAATATAAAAAAAAACTTAATATTCAAATAATATAACTAATTAATATAAAAATGATTACTTATTATTATAAACTCCTGTATACAATATCTTCTCTTGAATAATATCCTTTTTGATTTTTAATATATTTTTTTGTAAGTAATTTTTTTGATAGAATAATTAATATCCAGGATATTATATACAATAGTTTATAGTAAAACTAAAAAATATATAATAATATATACTGTATATATATATTATATTAATATTTATTTTTTTTCAAGTTTTGAATATTATTGTATATATTGAATTTATTAAATTATATTTTTTTCTATAATTATACAAATATATATTGTTTATTAAATCTTCATAAAAAAACAAAAAACATATTATATTATATAAACTATTTATTGCCTTGAATTATATATGTGTCAAAAATTATTGAATTGGATCAAATATAATTTAAAATAAAGAATTTAATAATTGAATCAAAATGTTTTTTTATAGTTAATATAATTGTATCACAATTATTTTAATATAATATAATCATATAATTTTGTCACAATTGTATTATCATTATATAATTTAATATAATTATTTTAATATAATACAATCATATAATTTTGTTACAATTATTTTTAATTATAATATAATTATATGATTTGTTACAATTATATTATAATTAAAACTCTGAAAAGTATTAAACTAATATCAAACTAGTATCAAATAATATCAATTTATAGTAAATTTAATATATGAATTATAATTAATTCATATGAATTTATAATAAATTTAAGTATCAAATTAATATTGAAGTAATATTGAAGTAATAGTATTGGGAGTCTTAATTATAATATAGTAATTATAATATAGTACTATAATTATAACCCATTTTTGATTAGTTATTAAATTTAATTTATAAAAATTTATATACAGTATGGTACAAAAAAAAACCAGAATCATATATTTACTTATAATTTAATAACTAATTAATTAAATTATATAAAACTTTATAAATAAGT